GCTGGAACCCCCCGGCTGCTGCCGAGGAGCTACCCCGGGTTGGGCTGCGGGGGTTGGGGGTGTCTCGGGCACGGCACGGTCCCCTGGGAGGTTGTGGGGAGCAAGGGAGGGGACAGCAATCGTTTCCCTGCCCCTTCGGGATTTGGGTACCGGTGTTGAGCACCCCGTGTGCCAATGTCATGGGTGGGATCCAGCCCGGGGTGTTTCCCATCCTGTGGGAACAGCCCAGCTGGGATGGGGGACTGGGATGGGGGAGAATGATGGGGAGCAGGATGAAGGTCTGGGATGCAGGACCAGTATGGGGAACCTGGATGGGGAACCTGGATGGGGTACCAGGGCAAGGGATGGGGATGGAGGTTTGGGATGGGGGTCCAGGCTGGGTGCTGGCTGGGACAGCGTGTGGGTTTTATTTGCCCCCATGGTCTTGGCAAGAAGGGGCTGGGAAGCCACCAAGACCCTTGGCTTTGCAAGCCAGGAACCATGAACTTCTCCATCATCTGCTTTTTCGGCCAAACTGAACCAAATTTCCCCAAATTTTTTTGGTCTTGGAGAAAACATTCCAGCTGAATCCTGCAGAGGGAGGTGGTGGATGGGGGACATGTCCCCACAGGCTGGTGCCACCAGGTTTTGTCCAGCTGAGGGTGGCAGTGATGGCTCCCATGTGGCTTCCCAGCTTTTCCCCAGGGAACACCAGCATCCTGTGGGCTGGGAGGGTGCAGGCAGCAAGGCAGGGCCCTGGCAGTGCAGGCAGCTCAGGTCCCCCCTGTGTTGGCTTGCAGAAGAAGACCCGTCGGGAGGAGGAGAAGAAGAGGAGATGCCCTCCTTCAGCTACCGACTGAGGGGTGAGGACAACCCCCGGGGTGGGCAGGGGCTGAGGCAGGGGCTGATCCTTCCCTCTCTGCGCTCAGGCAGGGCACGGACCAACTGCAGCCGGTGCCAGAAGAACCTCTCCCTCCAGACGGCCGTCAAGATCCTCTACATCATCTCCATCCTCCTCATCATGGCTGTGACTGTGCTGGCTGCCCTGGGTGAGTATGGGAAGGGTTCAGAGGCACAACTCCTGCCTTCCCTCCTGCCTTCTCTCCTACTCTTTGGGCAGGTCCTTGTGGGTATTGGTGCTCATCCAAAGCACCTCTAGCGTGCAGGCATGGAGAGGACCATCCAGCTTCCCCCTGATATGCCCCTGGGATGCACGTGGAATCCTGTGTGTGTGATGCCACCGTGCCAGGGGATAGTTTTACCCACGTGGGGACCTCAGGAACCCAGAGATTACCACCCCATCGTGTCCATGGGCGAGGAATGGCCACCCAGGTTCAGCGGTGGGATGTACTCACCAGGGCTGAACCATTAGAGATGCTTTTGAAGACCCAAACCCAAAAGCCCCATGTGATACCCACCCCATGGAGCCAGCACTCACCAGCTCTGGCTCTTCAACCAGGCTCTTCAAGCCCTCCTTGTGAGGGAACAAGCCCAGAAGAAGGCTGTGGAAAACAATCACATCCCAGTGCCTGCTTACCTCCACTGACCCCCCCAACCTTTTCTCCACAGTGTTCAAGAAAGTTGACACCATCTCAAATGAAATCAGCTCAGCCCAGACCTATTATGAGAAGAAGATCATAAACCTCCAGGAGGATCTCCAGGGGTTGGGTGAGTGGCTTCAACTTGGACCTGGAGGTCTTCTCCAGGCTTCAGCACTGTGTGTCACCTCAGCTTCTCAGTGCTGCCAGCCAGGAGCTGAAGCATCTCCACTTTTCAGGTCTTGAGTCTCCCCTAGAATCAAAACCTCCACTTATCTCCCCAAATATTGGGGAAGGACAAGTGTATGACCCAGAGGGTGGGGTTTGTAGTGTCAGGCTCTTTTGGAGAACTTGCTGCATAGAGGTGGCAGGAGCAGAATTGGGTGGGCAGAACTGGTGCAGGGCAGTGGCATCAGGACTGTCCCAGCCATGGCTTTATGGTGACCATCTCCAGGATCTGCAGGGATGGACCATAGTGAGGCTCCTTCCTCTGCTCTGGTTCTCAGTAGGAGGGTCTCCAGGCCTGGTGAGGGATGGGGTGGGGTAACATACCCCTCTGCCCTTCATTCAGATGAGAAGTCCTCAGGGAACTGCTCCCTCTGCCACGAGACTGGACAGCTAGGTCAAGAGATCACCAAGCTGCAAGGAGAGCTGGAGGAGATCCAGAAGATGCTTTTGGTTCAAGAAATCCTGCTCGACCGGACCTCCCAGACCCACAACATCCTCTCATCCACCAGCAACAAGATCACCAGTGAGGTGGACAATTGCTCCTTCTCCATCCAGCAGGTCAATGAAAGCTTGGGGCAGTTCCTGGCCCAGGTTGGGGGTTGGCAGGTGGTCAGCACCCAGCTAGACAACTCTCTGAAGGGCTTGGCCCAGGAGCGCTATGATGTTCGAGCAGCCATGCAGCAGATGAACTTCACCCTGGGACAGACCTCCGACTGGCTCCAGGTCATTCAGAGGAAGACGGATGAGGAGACGTTGACGCTGCAGAAGATTGTCACCGAATGGCAGAACTACACGCGCCTCTTTGGCGGGCTGAGGGCCACCTCTTCCAAGACCAGTGAGCTGGTGAAGAGCATCCAAGGCAGCGTCGGGGCAGCAGCTCGGCAGGTCAGCCAGAACTCAGAGAACATGCACGATCTGGTGCTGCAGGTGATGGGGCTCCAACTGCAACTGGACAACATCTCCTCCTTTCTGGATGACCACGAGGAGAACATGAATGACTTTCGCTACCACAACAGGTACACGCAGAACCGCACGGCCGAGCGCTTCGAGACTCTGGAAGGTCGCATGACCTCCCACGAGATTGAGATCAGCACCATCTTTGCCAACATCAACGCCACCGACAGCCACGTCCACAGCATGCTGCGCTACCTGGATGACGTGCGGCTCTCCTGCACCCTGGGCTTCCACACCCACGCCGAGGAGCTCTACTACCTGAACAAATCCCTCAGCCTGGTCCAGGGCACCACGGACCTGCTGCGGGAGCGTTACAGCCTGCTCAGTGCCCGCTTGGACTTCGACATCCGCAACCTCTCCATGGTCATGGAGGAGATGAAGGTGGTGGATGTCCAGCATGGGGAGATGCTGAAGAACATCACCATCTTACGAGGTGAGGCTCATGCTGCTGGGCACAGCCTAAGCCCTGCCAGGGATGGGGTGGGGGCAGGCATGTTGAGCAGGTAGTTTTGGGGGTTGTTTCTTCTGTGGCCAAGTGTTGTGGCATCTGGGCTCCTTGGGAGCATCCTGTACTCTGGAGGACCCAACTACCATTGCTGACGCCAAGGCACAGTTGGAATGTGCACAAAGACACCCAGCTTGTAGAGCTGTCCCTCTGTGGGAGGACAGGGACAGCAGGGAGGTGATCTGTGTCATTCCAGCAGGGCTGGCCTGGCCATTGGTGCCAGTGACCCCTCTTGCAGGTTGTGGTGGAAAGGACATGACTGCCCACAGATGATCCCAAAGCTTCCCCTGATGCCTCAGATGGCCTGGGGACATCATCCATCCACCCAAGGGAGCTGAGGAGGAGCCAAGCTGAGCTGATCCTGGTCTGGACAGGATCTCCAGGGCAGGGGCATCTCCTGGTCCACCCTGGTTTTGGGGTGCTGCTCCCCCATGTCTCCTACTGACCCCCTTTCTATCCCCCCCAGGTGTTCCTGGCCTCCCAGGTCCCCGCGGGCTCAAGGGCGATGTGGGCGTCAAGGGCCCCCCAGGAAGCCAAGGAGAGAAGGGCGACACGGGCAGTCTGGGCTCACCAGGACCCCAGGGACACCCTGGTTCCCCAGGACCCCCTGGTCCCCAGGGCCAAAGGGGTCCCCTGGGCTTAAAGGGCTTCCCTGGCCTCAAGGGTGCCAAGGGCAGCTTTGGGCCATCTGGCTCACAGGGACAGGGGGGACCCAAGGGAGACCCTGGCCTCCCAGGCCCTGTTGGTGTGACAGGGCCAGCAGGACCCCCCGGCCCACAGGGCAAACCAGGACTGCCTGGGACCCCCGGGGCTGGGGGACAGGTTGGCCCCATGGGGCCCAAGGGAGACCCTGGCTTGCGAGGCCCCCCAGGGCTGCCGGGCCCCCCTGGGCCCCCAGGACAGTAACAGGTCTGTCATGGTGACAGGAGGGTCCCTAGTGTCACCCCCTCCTGGACCCATGGGACAGTAGCAAGGCCGGCACAGCAACAGGGGATCCCTACTGTCACTTTTCCTGGACCCACGGAACAGTAACAGGGCTGGCATGGAGACAGGGGGGTCCCCAATGTCACCCCAGGCCTCCAGAGTGTCCCCTGCAGGGTTTTGTGAGGCTGAGCCTCACAGGACAGGGATGTGGAAGGGTCCTGATCTGCCCCCCGCCAGGGCAAGAAGCTGGGGCTGGATCCCAGCTCTCAGGGTGAGGGGTCTTAGGGTGGGGGGTCCCCATGGGACAGGGCACAGCTGGTCTATGTCCTTTACGCCCCTCCCCAGTCACCTCTGTCCCTCCCAACTCTGCGCCGTGTCCCCCATGTACTCCTGAAACAATAAAGCTCTATGGGGACAGGTGGGCTGTGCCTTGGGGACCCTGGGGGGGAACATGGCGGGGGGGCACCCACAGCCCAGCTGGGTTGGGTGCGAGGGTGGGGGAGGGAGTGAGTGGGAGCAAGCATGGACATGTGTGCATGGATGTGCAATCTGAGTGTGCACATGTCCACACGTGTGCATGGGAGTGTGCACACATGTGCGTGGCACGTGCATGAGTGTGGAGAGGTGTGTGCATGACTGTTCACACATAAACGTGTGTGCAGCAGTGAGAATGTGCATGAATGAGCATGCATGTGCATGTGTGTGCAAGAGTGAGGGTGCATGGGCACGTGTGCACGTGTACACGGCAGTGTGCATATGCACGAGGTTGGATGTGCATGTGCGTGCACAACTGCATGGGGGAGGATGTGCGTGCATTTGTGGTCATGAGTAAGGACCCATGTGCACACGTGCATGACTGTGCACACACACACACGCGTGTGCAGGAGTGAGGATGCTGAGTGAGGATGCACGTCTGCATGTATGTGCATGACTGTGCATGGGCATGGCTGGGGATGCATGTACATGCTCGTGCATGCTGGTGCAGGGGCTACGGCCCCACTGTCCCCCCCCTGCCCCCCATGGCAGGGGTGCCCAGCTCGGGCGCCCCGTGCCCAGCCCAGCTGCCGGCTGGGCGGTTTGTTGCTCTTGGCGAAGCTGTTTCCTGTTTTCAGCACAGAACCCGCCTGGGGCTGGTTATTAACACGCTCCAACATGGCTGGGAGGGGTGGGGGCAGCACATTGGGGCGCGGGGGGAGGTGCTGAGTAGGAGGGTGATGGGAGGGAGCAGAGACCTGACAACTTGTTACACGGATGGGACAAAGGCTGACAGGCCTGGCGACCCCCTGCACACCTGTAGGGTGCTGGGGGGGTACATTGCTGTACCTCAGTTCCCCCTCCGGTTGGCAGGACAGGGCTGTAAGCCCCATCCTGACCTCCTCACCCTTTTCCCAAACTCCTGTGTCTGCAGAAAACCGGGAGCAAATCTGGCCTCAACATAACACAGCAGGCAGCAGCTGTGCCAGTGTTTGGGGATGGGCGGCTGCCTCCTCCCCCAGGCCCACCAAAAATATGCAAGGGCAGATTTTTTTCCATCCTCCCAGCTCCCCCTTGCCACCCCCCCCCCCCTTCGGTACCATTTTCCAGGCAGTGGCAAGGGTGGGTGATAGGATTCCAGAGCTGGGAGCAAAAGGATTAATAAATAAACGAGGAGCGGACATGGGAAAGGGCTGGGCGGGATGTGCGGAGGCAGCGGGGACTGTTCGCCTTCCAGGGGGTTATTCTTGGCAGCTGCTGGGCCCTGGGGGGGACATAGGGTTGGAGTGGGGTGACAGGGGCTGCACAGCTTCCCTGCCATCCCTGCCCTTCCCAAGGGATTGGCCTGAACAGTGGTGGGGTGGGATGGCTGGAGCCAGCACCTCTGGCCTGGGGAACCAAGCACATGGGGACACATGGCCCACAGGCAGTGATGAACAGGGTGCTTGAGGACACAAAGTCCATGGACAGACCATGCC